CATAGAGATTGACAAAATCATTGCCTGATACTTTGCAGTATGTTCATGATAAACTTATGATTACATCTTTTCTCTGCTTGTAATGATGTCATAATGTTTTATTTGTGATTTTGGTGGAGTGAACTGTATTTCAGTTTTGCTTTTTCTTAAACAATAACATCAGCTTATCATGTTTTTCCTTGTTCCTACATGTACATGTATTTAATGTGCTATTTGTGATTTTAGTTGTGTGAAGTATTATTTTATGTTTTTGTTTTACAACCCTAAAATTACTCTATGTAGTAGATTTTTGTGTTGAATAAAATTGTTATTACTGTAGAATACTTTATTTTCGCTTAGAATTTATTTTTGCTATTTTCGCTGAAGGGATGATTCCGTGAAAATAAAATCCAGCGAATATACTTTTTTTCCTATATTTCACATTAAACTCATCAAAAATCAGTGAAAATAAAATCCATACAAAACGCCCAAAAAGCCTTTTCAGCGAAAATTAATTCCAGCGAAAATAAAGTATTCCACAGTATAATATAATGAAAGATGATAGCCAGTGCTACTACATTCAATATACAAAGTATTTAAATTTTACATTAATAACTTTGAACATGTTATGTGCAAATGTAGTTGACATCATATTCTTGGGGCGAAGCTACATCACAGAACGTGCTATGTTGATTGGACGTGCACCTATGGGCTATGTGCGAGTTGCTGTATAACACCGGTCGAAGAGCTAGTGAAAATAGCTTAAAGTCTAGGAAACGTCACAAACTCAACGTTGGGGTAAACCTGAACAACCAAATTTATATAGGTTGCACATGTAGCGGTAGTCAGGAGAGTCTCAACAACTAGCCCGGATGTTCACTCCTGAGAATAATGGGAAATTTGAATGTTGAAAAATGTACAGATGCAGATACAGTTTTTTACTGTCACTTGTATCCTGGATGTCAATTTTAATAGTATCGGTAACCTTTCCATATACAAGAGTTTAAAGTTCATAAATCATTGTCATATTCAGTTCAGACTTTGGTCACACAGATGTACGTGTCAGCTTTGTATATGTAGTATATACAGTATATAGCACTGTGATTGGTTTAATAACAACAATATTCAGTGTTGCCTATCACATTCACACATAGTATGACGTTCAGGGTTTAATTCTGTTTTGCTACATTCAAGCTCAGTCGGTATAAAGCGATGTGTACATTTGCACAATAAAGTGATACAATAAAAGTGATAATAAACGATTTCTTATATATTACTAACAAATATTTTAATATTAAAGATAAGTTGAAATGTATTTTACACACCTTGTTTATGTCACATGGAACCCATGTTGAACACAACTTCCCCAACTTCTGGGTGTCTGGTTTCCTAATTAGTTTTGGGTTTAAATATATCCATAATATTTATGCATAATAATTAAATATTTGGCTTTTCCACAGATTTTTCAAGAATTAATCGTCACATTCTAATGAAACTTCGTACATAGACCTGATTAGTTTTGGGTTGAAATTAGGCAAATTAGGTAATATGCATGTAGCATATTAATTATCTAATTTGCCTAAATTTTCCACCTTTATCTCAAAAAAACAACTATTGGGCATGTACATGTAAGTGCCTTGGGACAATGCTTAAGACCAGATTACCGGTAGTTTTAGATTGAAATTTGAGCATACTAATTGTCTAATATGCATAATCATATAACAAAAGATCAGATTTAAGTTAAACTTGTGGTACCAGTAGAAGTGCTCTTCTAAATCCGACTGCAAACCACAGATAAACTTTAATACTGTAGATCATTGTTTTCACGTTGTGCATCTTAAATAGCAGACCAATATCAGTTGTCAAACTTCTTTTTTAAAAGGCTAACCTTAAAGTTTGATTAAATATGCCTGCATTATTCTCAGTACATTAAAGTTCTTTCTAAGCTTTTATTATTGAGTGCTAATTAGGATAGGGTGCATGTACTAAAATGGCCATGTTACTGTGTTGGTTTATTATAACAGATATATAACAACATTATATACAACAATTTGTTTTGTTTATATGTGCTTCTACATGTAATCAACCAATCAAATGTGTACTCATCCTTGTGGGAGAAATGTTATAGTTATTGCATGGAGGTAAAAGACAGAAGGAGTTACAACTGATTTAAGCCTATTAAATTTCCTAGTTGAGTTAATCCTCTTTTCTTGTCTGTTTAAACGTCCTTTGATACCCATGATCATTTCCGACGCTAGCGTTCACTGTCCTTGTAACCAAAGTCGGGTCTTTTTTTTTCTCGCTTGCTAAGCAGTGTTTTACAAGAATAAGGGTAATTTTACTTGCACGATTCATCTAGAAAGATTGCCATTGTTATGACAAGTTTATTCCTTGTTTGAATTTTTAAAATTATCTGTTTTTCCGTTTTTCCATGGAATTTCTACTGCAGGGTTGCACCAAATTGGCCCACTTATGTGTTAGTTTAAATTGAAGCCTTTTTTACGATTTTTGCAATGGTGTTAAAACTAATGTCCTTCCGAAGTACTCTGCGCATGCAGTAGACTATGGAAACTTGAACTGTTTTTGATTTTTTATCGGTATTCATAGTGCCACCACTCAATGGGGCATTTATCAGAATCACATGCTAACATGTTCTCTGTTTCTGGTCCACAACATAATATACAGCATATATCCTCTTCAATCAGGACTTCTTCAATTTCATTTACTTTCGCTATATTGAAACAATCATCGACTTCGTCTTCGCGAACATGTACACAACTTTCCAGGGACGCCATTTTTAACAATGACCTTTAGCCCGACGGTTTTTGAATATTCCCTGGGGGTCCTGAAGTACATCTGTTATATGATAAATCACCTTATTATCTGTAGATAATTTGTTGTTTACTGCTAGATTAACAAGCAAACATTATAATTACTGAGTACTGGTAAATGGAACCTTTGTTCTAACTCCTTCTGTCTTTTACCTCTATGGTTATTGTCACTGGACATTCTCACGGACAGCTATGTGAAAATGAAGAGCAGACTGGTTAGGCCGGGTATACCCCATGGTATAATTATATGGTCCACTAACATTTGATTTTTTTCCAATATTCATTTTCAGCAGATGACCCAAATTTTTTCAAAATGGTTGAAGAGTATTATGATAAAGGGGTAGCGCTTGTTGCAGATGTTTTAGTTGAAGAATATCCTGCTAAGATACCCAGAGAAGAAAAAGTGAAGCGAGTTAATGGCATTCTATGTAAGAATTTAATGGAAATGAAGAAAACCATTCCCCATTTGTGTAAAGTCTGTCTTGTGCCTGAATTTGAGAATTCATGTCTTGTAACAAACTACAGGTTTAACTAATTTTTAATTGATTCTAAATCATTTAGTACAAACTATTTTGTTTTGGTAAGATACTTTTCTGCCAAAGAGACATTTCCATGTATAATGTGCAATAATATTGTTATTTTCTTGTGTCTTGAACCATTTCTTAGATGTACCTTGACTGATTTAGTTACAAAGACAAGACATAATGAGCATGTTGATTTGTATTTTCATTTTTGTTCCAAAAAAAAACAACATTGAAAATTTTTTTTGTTTTGTTTTGAGCCCCCAACTTGACATGGTTTGAATGTAAGTAATTTAGGTTGTCCGTCCATCCACTTCCTCAGAAGGTCATAGACCAATTTTTGTTGGTACATGCATGTAGTTCTAAACATATACTGCAGATCTGTTTTTCCTTGATCACATTCAAAATGGCCTGTTGGGTGCCATATTTTGATTGAAAATCGCAAATGTTGGCTTGCAGTCCGACTTATTTTGAATACGATTGGTAGGTTTGGAAACAGGTAGGTCCCCTTTAAAGATACAAAAAACACGCCATGGACCTGCAGTTTCTAGCATAGAAGAACAGATTAAGAAAACATTTTCTAATTGTTAATGCCTTTTAAGTGGTACATGTATCAATCAGAAGATATATTCTAAACATGCCTTGAACAGTCAATACTTGGCTGCCTGATGTGTCACTGTAAGTTCTCCACAAACCAGAATGCAGATACATCTTACATTTGTGACGCTCTTGTTATGCCACCAACACCACGAATCATTAAAAAAATGGAAAGTCTGATTGAAATGAAGTATTGCATAAAATACTAAATGACTATCAAATCAATGTTTGGCAAAATTGCATTGTATTTCTGCAAAAAGTCAAATTTGGTAGAATCGTTGAATATAATCAGACTGATATATGTAATTATCTGCAATAGGTTAGCAGGTACTCGTACTATGACATACACATAGTACCTCAAATACTATACGATACAATACGACTTAGGAATACTACCGTAGTATTACCGGTATCACTTTTTCCTGCATTGTGTGTTAACCACTGACAAAATTTGCATCACACAAACAACAGTTCATACACAGTTCAAGACATAATAAAAAGTGTGCATATATTTAGATTAATAATTTTTCAAGTTGACATAAAAATACATTTGCTTGTATGGTTGATTATTATTTTGTCTCCATTTTCATAAGCCCTACCAGCAAATCAAATTGAATTTCATATTGTATAGCATATTGTATAATGTTATCATCACCAAACGAAATAGATTTATTTTATATACAGCTCTTATCAAGCCATGTAACCATGTCCTGAGTGTGGTGTTTCCTTTGAGACGAGACAATGGTGATTGGGAGATGATTGAGGGTTACCGTGCCGAACACAGTCAGCATAGAACACCATGTAAAGGAGGTGAGTGAATTCTAGCTATTTATAGAAATAATTTGTATAAATCTCCAATGATAAAACCTGCTGCCTACTAGAAATAATTTAATTGCCATATATTTCCTGTAATTGATCGTTTGAGTCACTTATTAGTTTGCATCTAGCATTTTCAAAAATACACAAAGTGAAATGTTTCGTTTTAATTTCTTTTCCCAAAATCAATGTTTTTAGTCCCTGTTCAGACACAGTGGATTGACCTCTGTGTGTGCGTCCATGGCGGCCATTTTTGTGCTGAAAAATCATTAAAATCAAGCTTTTCTGGAATTCCGGAACCGGATCTTAGTCGTTTATGGGTGGATTTTGTTGGGTCCCTGATGCATGTCATTTTTTTTTCATATCGGATTCAAAATGGCTGACTAGTGGCCATTTTGTTTTCAAAGAATGCGGTTATAGAGCAATATCTCTTACATGCCTTGACTGATTATGTTCAAATTTTATATATTCGTTATACATCATAGATATACAGATTTGACGATCCGATTCAAAATGGCTGACCGGTGGCCATTTTGTTTTAATTAATGCTGTTTCAGAGCAATATTTCTCAATCTGTACAAGTACTCTTTTGACGATCAGATACAAGATAACTAAATGTCAATCATTTTAAATGTTAAAAAAATCATAATCAAGCATCAGCCTCTGGGTCCATATCTCTTGACATGTTTACATTCAAACTATATTACTATAAACAAAACTATACATCTTAAATTTGATAGTTGATGGGGCTGTGCCATGCATGGCTTGTTTTTATATTTTTTATTTTAAAATTGTCATTATTGTGCTCAATTTCAATTTTTCCTGAAAAAAAAAATGTTCTTGATTTTCAACAAAAGTAAGCTGTGTTATTACTAATCTTTGAAGTAGTATGTGGTGACAAACATTCTTGTTTATTTCTGGGCCTGATGAATGTAAATTGCATCATGTCTTGTTTATAATCTTTTGTAACCATTGCCAATCCCTCCGGGGAATGTGTAAGTGTTAATAAAATTATTAAATTATTATTATAATCATGATAAAACATTTGATCTTGATGTTTCTTTTGAGCATCAGCAACATTATATCAACAAAATGTAATGAAGACTGAGTAACCTATGTTTTGTTTCCACGTATAAATTGATTTTCTTGACTCATTGGCAGCCATTTTGAAAGAAGGCTCTCAATTAAGAATGAATATTAGAACACTTTGCTTATCTACATTTGAAAAGACTGTGTTAGGCTATAATTGAAATGATGAAATAGAGAATTATCCCAAATTACTGTATCTATTATTAAATCCAACCATCCACTTTA